TGATTCCCAACACTAAAACAAGGGAGGAAATGTATCTCTGTTCACATGGTACACTGAGCCACAAACAATTCAATTACAGTACAACTCTGCTTGTTTGGTGAATCCAGCCTTTGAAATTAGTTTTGGTTCAGTATGTTCAGTTAAGTAGAGATAAATATTTTATGTTAGTAACTTTGTATCTTTGAAGTTCAGGTTTCTGTTAAGGTCATATTTTATTCATGTATGTATGTATGTATGTATGTATGTATGTATGTATGTATGTATGTATATATGTACTTACGTACGTACGTATATGATTTTCATTCAGATTGAAATAACATAAAGCTCTGAAGCCTGAGGAAACCATTAGAACCCAAATTTGGGGAAATGTATTCCAGAATTATTTCAAGAACAAATGGGAAATATTGCTCTGTGGTATTTTCTACTCAGCTAAGCCATATCTAGAGCTTCTATCCGCCCATCACTTGTGCTTTCTTTTGTTCCCAAGATCTAATTTATGACTTTTCAAAATTTCCTGGATTTGGGCAATATTTCCAATATCCAGTGGGAACAAAGATTGAAGGAGTGAATAGTCAAGACTTCTGGACTAGCTAGCTCAAGGTTTTCATCAAGGCCAAAAGAGATTGTCTTAGAGATTGCCAATATTCCACAGCTCAGAAATAAATCCTGGAGAAGAATTCAAAAGCTGTATAAAAAGTATATGCCAGGAGCAAAGATCAAAAGTAAAAGAGCACTCTAATCCATTGTACCTCTTTCGCTCCATTAGATACTTTCAACATTTTGTCAATATACTCCTTTGCTTTATCATTCTTGTTCATTAGCCACAGAAACATCCCTGCATAATACAGTGCATTGCTTCCAGCAGTTTTCCGTGCTTCCTTCAACTTGGTTTCTAAGTCCAAAAGAGCAGAGGAATCTGAAAATAAACAGAACAGATGACAATCTGTTTTCCACTTTATTTATTTATTTAGGAGATTTATATTGCTGCCTATTCGCACATGGTGACTCAAGGCGGATTACAAGAATATAAAAACATCATATAAAAACATAACTAATAAAAGAGAAAATCATATAATATAACTCCCATACCCCCTGCAACAATATATCAAACAAGCCACTTAATGGGCTCCACCCCGCTCCGGGTTCCCCAGCCCCCCCCCCCCCGAAGAACCAGGTCTTCAGCGCCTTCAGGAAGAGTGGCAGAGTGGGGGCCATTCTAATTTCTGGGCGGGGGGATGATGTTCCAGAGAGTAGGGAACCACCATGGAGAAAGCCCTTGTTCTGGGTCCCACCAGTTTTATCTCCCTAGGGGATGGGACCCACAACATTCCTTGCTTTCCTGCTGGTGGGTGGGATAGATGTGACTGACAAGAGATGGTCCCTCAGACAGCCACGTTTTTATTTTCATGTATTATAAGTAATTCAAAAGGAAGCTCCTAGGATATTTTCTTTCAAGTAAAAAATGGCAGTAAAGGAACCAGTAAAAATGAAAAAAAAGACCTTACATTATTCAACTATCTCAAAATAGTAAAGAAAACTTATTTACTAATCAATATTTTTTTGAAAACATTTCAAAATTAATTTATGTAAATCTTGCATATTCATCAAAAGATTATTTGGAAATAGCACCAACATAGAGTTCCAAAAGGAAGAAAAATATGTATCCAATCCTGGTTCAAACAAGTAACAGAATGAGAAATCTTACAATCTTGGAATACTTAGAATTACTGCAACATATCTTCTTTCACGTTGCACTCTATTGTGGAAATCATATTATTTTTAAACAATGAAAAAGGCTATATAATTTATGTGTTTTGTTTTCTATATTATATGTACTCAAGTCAAGTAAATCCAAATGAATACTGTCCACATCAACAGTATTCCATGCTATATAAGCCAAACCCTAATGAAGTTGTTAAAAACTGAGACAGTTATTATATTGCAATTGACATGCTCAAATATTTGTGGATATCATATATTCTGAGAACAGAAGCCAACATTGTTTGACATTTCATATCCATAGATCTCTCTCTCTCTCTCAAAAACAAATCACTATGCAGCATATCTATTCCAGGAAACAAAATCATTGTGAACATTATTGCTTTCATTTCCTTCAATCATTTAAAATTTAAAATATTGGAAAAATATGAAAGGTCAGACATGACAGGAAGCCTGGCAGGAATCAAAATAAGTATCTGCAGGTATATTGACACTCATAGATGTCACCCTGGAGACACTGGCAACAGAGTGTAAGTTAGAATTAAATAGTATTGTAGGTATTAACATGGTTTCTCAATAGAGGATTTTCTTGAAGTGAATGCCTTCATCTCATTCTGGATTATTGTTGTCCAGTTGTTTGTGACTGTGGGTATTGTTTCATTAGGATTGTCTTTCAATAATATCTTTGACATCTTCCTATAAATTCATTCTCATATCATTAGTGACAATATCTAGTTATTTTCTTCTCTTGGCCAGCTTTTCACTTGTCTTTGATTTATCAAGCCATGTACAATTAATTGATTTGCAGATATTTTGGGTAATATTCTTGCACTAACTCTTCTTTATGTTTTCCTTAGCTTTTTGACATAAAACATTTCCTTCATGTTTGTAATGTTCTTAAATAAGTCTTCGATTTTACCTTTATTTTCAATTTGTTGTACTTATTATTTAAAAATAACTGCTTGTTCCATCTTATTTTTTCTCTGAAACTCAATATTTATTTGGCCAGGTTTTTCTCAGTCTTTCTCAGGTCTTCTAACCTATTTTCCCTCTGCATAGTTTAGCATTATAATAGAGGGATCAAAATGGAAGAAAAGAAAGAAAAGAAGAAAGAAGTTTTCCTCACCAGGTTTTCATCTGACTGACTGCAAGACAGCTCCTGAAAATATGCTACATCTTTCATTTAAAACAATTTATGAGATAATAACTCACCAATATTTTCACATCTTTTGTGAGCATAAATGAGACCTAGAAGGCAGCATAAGGAAACATCAGCATGTCGTTTCTGGGCATTTTCAAGCAGTGAGATACCTTCTTGGATTCGGCCTGTAAAGGTCCAAAGCAATGACTTTAATTTTTAATAGATTTCACTTGGAAACTATCATAAACATAGTTACTTTGAAGGGCAAAGTTAAACCTGTAACCAATACAATTAATGGATGGAAACTAATCAAGAAGAGAAGCAACCTGAACCCAAGCAGAAATTTTCTGACAGTGAGAACAATTAACCAGTGAAACAGTTTGCATCCATATGTAGTGGGTGCTCCATCACTTGAAGTTTTTAAGAGACTGGACAGCAACTTGTCTGAAATGGTATAAGTCTTGAGCAGAGAATTGGACTAGAAGACCTCCAAGGTCCCTTCCAACTCTATTATTCTTTAAAGTCTATAAACATAATTATTTTGGAGAGCAAAGCTAATCCTGTATTCAGTACAATTCATACAACATCAGCTCTGCAAATAGGTTTAATTGTTACACTTGGGTGGAAATGATCTAATATTGTTTTGCAATCCTTGGTATTGTATATTTTGTTTTTGTTATTTTTCTCATGACTTATCAATGTATAGATGATACATTCATATTGCTAATTTGGCTTTTAGTTTTTGGGAATTGTATACTTTTAATGTATAAGTTTATTCTTATTGCTTTGGGATATTTCAGTATCATTTGATTTCATAATATCTTTTAAACTACTTACTTGCTCAAATTAATTTTGACTTGCTGGGTTGCTCTTATCAAATTATACTACCCATCTGTTTTCTAAACCAAGCAGATTTTGTTTTAGTTTTTCAATTTCCAGTTTTAGTTCACAGATATCTTGATTCTTTACACTAATTTGCATAGAGAATGTCAGATTGTGAATGCAAATTAATAATATTTCTAACCTACGCAAAGTTTTCAACACTCCTTCCACATTTATTTCCAATTTCTGTTCCAGGAACGTTAATTGTAATCCTACAGTATCTACTCAGTACAACTAATTCATTTTAAACAATCATTTTCACTAATTACCCAGAAGCAAAGTTCCAAGACCCTTGAAAAATAGCAGCACTGGATCATGGGCATGTTTGGACAGTTCAACATTTGTTGCTTGAATAACATGGTTGAAGTATTTTTCCTGAGCATAGTATAGAATTCTAGCCTTGAGATGAAAAAAAGAGTTGAAAAATTATTTTGGTTCTGCTCACTAGGTTACTACATCACTGCACACTAGAACTAGACACAAGTTCTTGCCCTCACTCTGCCAAACTAATTCCCACAACACTGTCAAACTATTTACTAAGACTATATTACTCTTCTCATTCTTCCTAGTACCTATCTCCTCCCATTTACGACTATAACCATGTTGCTTGTATCATTACTATTTATATTGTTTTGTTTCCTAGTATGTTTTGACTGCTTATTAGTAACCTATGAAATGTGGAATTCAGCTGCCAGCATCTTTTCTTTCCACATTTCTTGAAATTGCTGAAGTTGAGAAGCATTGCCCTTAAGGTATATGAAGCCATCGCTCGGTTAATACGGCCAGTGTTCCCAGCCGTTTTTCAATAGCTGTGTTTTTTTTTTATGTCAGAAACACGTGTGTTTTGGGAGCGTGTGGAGGAGACTACCATCGACTGGGGGTCCGCGACAGCCATCGCGCCTTCTCTGAGGAGAAGCGAAACCGCAATGCCCGACCTAACCGACAAAGCGCGCGCCAACAAACCGCCCCCGCTCCCGCCCCGAGACGAACGGCTTCAGCAACCAATCGCAGAGGCGCTGCTGTTGCTCCTCCTCCTCGCCGCCATCCCCTTCCTTTCCTGGAGAGCGGCGGATTTCGCCTTCTCCCTCCTCCTCCTTCTCTCCGGCATCCGGAACGCTACCTTTCCCCGCCCCTCCCCTTCGTTGCTAAGCCCCGTTGGGGACGTTAAGGCGAGTGACTGACGGGCGCTGCAGCCTATGAGGCGCGCGTGGCGTCGCTCGGCTTGCTTCGCTGGTTGTCCTTTTCCCGGCGGCCTCCGCTCTCGGCGCATGCGCGTCAGGGCTTGCAGCGTTGGACGCTGTCGAGTTGTGTGGTTTTGGCGACCGGTGGCGATGGAGCCATTGAAGCCGGCGGGGTCTCTTCCTCTTCTTCCTAGCGCTTGAGTCGGTGCCTCTCACCGGGCAGCCATGGGGCTGAGCTCCAGCTCCGAGGTTCCCGATGGGGGCTCCGAGGGCTACCATGTGCACGGGGTAAGCAGCGTTTCCCTGGAGGGAGCCAAACTGGGGCGTAGGCGGTCCGAAATCGAAGCGCCCATCATCCCCAGCCAGTGGGTGGAAAGGACGGGCATGAATCCAATCCCTCTGGGGAGGAGGGCATTGGCTTCCACAGAAGATTAGCCGCTGCTGGCCCCCCTGAAGCTTTTCTTCCCCCCCAGACGTTGATGGACCCCAGTACCCATTGTTCTCACCCAGTGGCTGGGGATGATGGGCATTCATCCCATACCTCTTGATGTGACAAGTGACCAGCTGGGAAAAGGATCTTGGGAAGCGCCTTCTGTGAGGCTGTGTGTAATTTTGTTTATAATCCCCTCTCTAATATATATATATATATGTGTGTATGTATGTATGTATATATGTGTGTGTGTGTGTATATATATACATATATATATATATGTTTTTCAAGGCAGCGGACATATCCAACAAGGCATCCTCTTCTTATTTCCTCCACAATAACAACAATAACCCTGTGGGGTGAGTTGGGCTGAGAGAGTGAGCTACTGGCCCAAGGTGTCCCCATCTGGCTTTCATGGCTAAGGTAGGACTTGAACTCAGGTCCTGTTTTCCAGCCACTTTCTAGCTTGGTGACTTAACCACTAGACCAGTGGGGTCTGCAACACTCAAAAGAGCCATTTGCTCCTATTTCCTACAGAAAAGAAAACACTGGGAGCCACAAAATGGGTGGGTGTGGCCAGATCAACGCCACTCATTTCCACCCAGTCACATGATCCCACCCAGTCACGCCTACCCAGGTTTTGTGACTCCCGGTGTTTTCTGTGGGAAACGTAGTAGAATAACCCGACACGGAGCTGCAGCAGAGGTACGAAAGAGCCATATGTGGCTCCAGAGCCACAGGTTGCTGATACCCACACTAGACCAAACTGCTGGGTGATGTCCTTATTTCAAGTCTTTTCATCCTGTTCTGCGTCTGAAAAACGTTCCAGAAGAGCAGCCATCACACAGCCTCAATGGGAGATTCCAGTCCCGTAGAGTCCTGATCCAGGAAGAAAGCTGGAGAAATGAAAAAGATCAGAACCCCCTAAATGGCTTTCCCTAAGGCCACTTGGGTAATTTCCTTGACAGCTCTATGGAAGAGTTTGAGAATTGTCACCCTCGGGTATTTTCCTGTCTCTCCAGCCTGACCCGCTAGCTGAAATTCCCTTGCTGGTTTTCTATGCAAGCCCTCATCAGGGCCATTTAGCTTTGCTCATAATTACAGAAAACCTGCCCTGCCACCTGATACCTCAATTTGTTGCTCTTCCGATTACTAACTATTTATTTTCTTTGTAAAGAGGAATGTTGCCTATTTCTAGAACATAGTTGATTTTTGTTGAATGTTCAGGCAGTTTGCAAAAGGCAATAGCATTAAAAAGTAACCCACCAAAATTGTATAAAAAGAACTTAACTATATTCTAAAACAGCTGTTGCCATATGCCTGTTTATCTTCTGTGTGTAGAATCTAATTATTAATTTTTTGGCTATTTTGCCCTTTTTGTTAAAAAGTACATCTCAGCTTCAAGGGTGAATTTTGCATTGGTGAAAATAAAACATGACTAAATTTGTTAATATCTTGCAAGCATCATACCATATCCAGTTTGGTGTAGTGGTTAAAGTGAGTCCCATAAAGCCAGCTGGGTGACTTTGGGCCAATCCCTCTCTTTCAGGATGGTTGTTGTGCAGAAAAGAGGAAGACATATTATGTATATTTGCCACCTTGAGTTACTTATGAAAGTGGAATAAAAATGAAATAAAATGGAGTAGAATAGAATTCTTTATTGGCTAAATGTGATTGGACACACAAGCAATTTGTCTCTGGTTTATAAGCTCTTAGGGTACATACAAACATCATAGAGATAAGTCATAGATCATGAATCATAAGACACAATCATAAATCATAAGATGCAAATAATTGATAATCATAATATACCAGTAGGAGAATCTAGTAGAAACTATGAGGTGAGAAAGATGAGAAAATGACGTGGATAATGGCAATAGAGGCAACTACATGGGTAAAATATCTTTAAGCATGGATATTTAGGGTAAATATTCATCGATATGGTATGGATGTGCTGTCTCCTTGCTTCCTCACTGAATGTATCTCTGAATACATTTATCATTCTGCAATCTCTATCCCAGTGGTCAAATTGGTTGGGGATGATTGGAATCCTGTAGCTTGGGTGGATCAGAATGATTAAGTCTTGCCTTTGCAAGATTAGTGCTGTGCCTTTTTAATATTGTGTGCAGAAGTTATGAGTCATGACTAATTTATTGTTCTTTTTTTTTAAAGGGAGGGTGTTAGGCGAGGTCTTGGTATGAGATGTTTAACTTGTGGGGCAGTAATGTTGCCTTTCCTTGGTGGCTTTCAGAAGTTAAGCTTCTGCAAAGTCAAAGCCCTTCCGTATTGCTGGGTATGCACACAAATACATCAGACGTCAAGCTTGACTTAAAGGAAATATTCAGAAATGCATTCTCTGGGTGTATGTTGAGACTAAGGTGAGGTTCTGTGGAGAATGTTTAACCCAAAGTCTGAGAAATTGAGATCCTTTTGCAAAAGAATTAAAATCTCAAAATTGTGAACTCCCCAAGAAGCTTGCTATAAAAGGAGATAATGCCTGGCCTGGCCTCCTTTTTAATTGCCTTGGATCTTGTTCTCTTGGACAGGGAACTAGCACTTAGACATATATGCCTCTTCCTAGGGCTTTACAGCCCTCTCTAAAAGGTTTGGAGGATGGAATGCTGAATCAGTCTTGAACTGGTCAGAATCGAACTCCTGGCAGTGAGCAGTGAGTTAGACCTGCAGTACTACATTCTAACCACTGCGCCACCACAACTCTTCTCCAAATTGTGGGCTGGGCAGCTTTGGTCTTGGGGCTCCAGATTATAAGAAACTCCTCCAGTTATTAATAACAGATGTTTATGGTTAATCTGTACATAGGCTTATTTCAGGCACTTTTTGCATTAAGCATCCAACTTTCTTTAGGAAGTGCATTCTTATGCTGATGTTCAGTTTTATGCAATATGTCAATTTTGCCATTTTTGCAGATTCAAGAAAATTCCCCTGCTCAGCAGGCTGGATTGGAGCCATTCTTTGATTTCATACTTACCATAGGACATACCAGACTGGTAAATAGCTAAGAAAAGCCAGTGTTTTCTGTATCAGTATGCGTGTGTGTGTGTGTGCATGTGTGTACTTGCCTGTGTCGGTGTTCTTGCAAATATCGCTTGGTGGTTCAACTGACTTTATTTTTGAAATTGTAAATTGCTCCAGTCAACTTTCACTCCCAGATAATGTCCACTATTGGGCTTCTTCCTCTTAAATCTCTTAATAGATAGAGATCTTCAACAAACATTCTCTGTTTCTTTGGATTACATGTGAGATTCTTTTAGTTTTAACAGGTTATGGTCAGAGACCAAAAAACGGTACAAGAAGAAGCAGATTACAGAGAACAATTATTAATAGTGACATGTGAATCTGTAGGTTAAAAAATACAGGTAGACTTACAACCATTCATTTGATTACTGAAAAAAAGTGACATGACGATTTTTCATCCTTCTGACCATAGTCACATGATCAAAATTTGGGTAGTTGGTAACTGACTCATATTTATGACAGCTGCAGTGTCTCAGAGTTATGTGATCACCATTTATAAACTTCCCAGCAGCTTCTGACAAATAAAGTCTGTGTGTGTGTGTGTGTGTCTGTGTGTGTGTGTATCTGGATTTGCCTGATGACCATGTGATTCATTTAATAACCACAGTAATTTGCTTAACTATATTTATTTGGCAATAAAGATTGTAATATGGAACAAAACTCAAAAGCTGTCTTGATTAGCAACACAAATCTGGGGCTCAACTATGATCGTAAGTTGAGGATTACCTGTAAAGATGATAGATATGTCATTTCAGTATCCTTAATCAGCTTAACAATCAAACCTGGGAGTCTTCTGATAGCATTTGCAATCAAGCAGAACTTTGCTGTTTTTGGAAATTTTAGTAGAAAATTCAGCCAATAAGCAAATGACTGAATAAGGATCACCATATACAATTACTGTAAAAAAAAGCAAGAAGTATGAAAAAATTAAGGTTCCACATTTAGGCAAGAAGAATCAATTGCACAGGATAGGTGGTGCCTGCCTTAATATAGTAATTGTGAGAGGGATCTTGGAGTCCTAGTTGTCAGTCATTTAAATATAAGCCAGCAGTTGGCTGCAGCTACCAAAAAAGCCAACACAATCCTACAATAACAGGGATAGAATCAAGATCACATGAAGTGTTAATACCACTTTATAATGTCTTGGCCATCCTTGGAATATTGCATCCAGTTTTGGTCGCCATGATATAAAAAAGATGTTGAGACTTTGGAAATTGTACAGAGAAGAGCAACTAAAATGATTAGGGAGCTGGAGACTAAAACATGAAGAACATGGAGACTAAAACATGAAGAGCATGGTTGTAGGAACTGGGTATGTCTACTTTAATGAAAAAAAAAGGACTAAGAATGACATGACAGAAATATGCCAATATTTGACGGGCTGCCACAAAGAAGAGGGGGTCAACCTCTTCTCCAAAGTACTTGAAGACTGGACAAGATGCAATGGATGGAAACTAATCAAGGAGAGAAACAATTTGGAACTAAGCAGGAATTTCCTGACAGAACAATTAATCAGTGGAACAACTTGCCTCCAGAAGTTGTGAATGCTCCAACACTTGAAGTCTTTAAGATAGCCATAACATCATAAGAAGATGTTGGATAGCCATTTCTCTGAAATGGTATAGGGTTTCCTGCCTTAGCAGGGGATTGGACTAGAAGACCTCTAAGGTCCCTCCCAACTCTGTTATTCTGTTATTCCATTCTAGATGTATTGATACGTGATTGTGTAAAGCACATCATGAATACAAAAAGTAAATCAAATATGGAATGAATTGATATATAAATAATACAAAGCAGGAGTTTGCAGCTTGAAGTCCTTAGACCAAATTTCAGCCTTGGTAGGTGCAGCCTGCCTCTTGCTCCCTATCACCAACTCAATTGCATCTTAGAAACCTCAGGAATTCAGCTAGTTGCTTTAGGGAGGTGTGGGAAATTATGTATGGCCCCTTTATGACTGGTAGGCACCCAGAATTCCTGAGCCACAGGTCGTAAAAGGGCCATAGTTCTCCACCCCTGCTTTAGGATATGACAAGAAGATCTGATCTACCAAACACGTCCCCTTCTTAGATCAGCTTTCCAGAACTGGAAATGATGGACAGAACTCTTGTTGTTCTAAACTGACCTGCTGGGAAATTGTAGAGTTTGCTGTATAAGCAGCCATTGGTGGCCCGGTTTTAGGAAGGTCTGGATTCATTGCTTCTTCCTTCCTTTTGGTAGCTTTGAGACTGAAAAGCATTCGTGCCATCAGGTGCAGCTTGCGGAGGCAAAAGCTGGGCTTGCAGCCCTTCGGTCCCTTCCCCATGCAGGTGCTAAGAGTTTGACGCGGGCAGTGCAGTGCTTGTCTTCATAGCAGATACAGGTTGTCCTCGATTTGCAACAGTTCGTTTAGTGACTTTTCAGTGTTGCAACGGAAAAAGTGACCTAAGACCATTTTTTCACACAACTATTGCAGCATCCCCATGATCACGTGATCAGAATTCATATGACTTTGGCAACCGTCTCCTATTTATGACTGTTATGGTGTCCAGGGTCTTATGATCGATCCACTTTAGTGACTTTCTGACAAGCAAAGCCAGTGGGGAAGCCGGATTCACTTAATCACTGTGTTACTAACTTAACATCTGCAGTGATTCATTTAAAAACAACGGTGGTAAGAAAGTTTGTAAAAAGGAGCAAAATTCACTTAACAAAAGGTCTCACTTAGGAACAGAAATTTTGGGCTCAATTATAGTTGTAAGCTGAAGACTACTTGTAATGCGAATTGAGATGCAGCTGAATTGGGTGAGAACTTCTTCTTCTTTAAAATGTATTCTTAGAAAGCAAAATCCAATTTTTATGGCTACCTGTCTTTGAAGACTTAATTGTTGCATGAGAAATAGCTCTGGACCAGATGCTGAAGTGAAATTCTCCCACCATTAATGTAATTTTCTTTTCGTTATATGTTTCATTAATTTTATTTACTTGTTTTCTTTCTCACCAACTCTCTCTGGCTTAGAGAATTTAAAAAAATGATGTAGAAATTCACACTTCCAAGGCAACCCCCCCTCCCCCAATAAAAACAATTTTAAATGAAAATCAATAATATATTTATAATTACAATTAATACAGTGGTAACAAACACTTTTCAAGGGTTCTTTGGATGAGCTTTAGTTTTAGCAGTTTCCAATACAGGTAGTCCTCAACTTATGACCACAATTGACCCCAAAATTTCCATTGCTAAGTAAGACAGTTATGAAATGAGTCATGCCTCATTTTACAATTTTTTTCCCGCCACAGTTGTTAGGTGAACCACAACAGTGGTTAAGTGAATCTTGGTCATTAAGTGAATCTGGCTTTTTCTGACTTGGCTTGTCAGAAGCTCCCTAGGGATGTTGCAAGTGATACTCCCAGGACCCCTTCAACCACCCTCAATACACTCCAGCGGCCAAGCACCCAAAGTATGACTGATGCGGCAACTGTCATAAGTAGGAAAAATGGTCGTAAGTCATTTCCCCCCCCCCCCAGTACTGTTGCAAGTTTGAATGGTCAATAAATGAACAGTTGTAAGTCGAGGATCATCCGTAACGGTTACTGAAATGACAACCTTATTATGTGGGTGAGGACTCGTCCCTCATTTTCTCGGCATCTTTGCTTAAGGGCATCTTTTGAGTTTTTGAGTATTGAAACCTGTTAGGTATAATCAAGGTGCCCCTTTTGGCAAAGCTTTGGAGGGAGGAGAAGGGAGGGCATTGACTTCTTTGCTGAGTCACCAAAATCAGTTCGCAATATTTGACCAACTGTAATCCTTATTGGTAATAATTAACAGATTAAAAGCTGCTCGACAAAGGCGTGCGGAGATGAGAAAGAAGGCTAGCTGGTAGCTTCCAGCTGTTATTTCGTTTAGTCAACGTGGCAATCTGTCATCTTGAGTGCAGGCAGTCCTCAACTTATGACCACAACTGAGCCCAACAGTTTTGTTGTTAAGTTGAGATGTTTATTAAGTGAGCTTTGCCCCATTTTGCAATTTTTCTTTGCCACAGTTGTTAAGTGAATCTCTGCAGTTGTTAAATTAGTAGCACGGTTATTAAGCGAATCAGGCTTCCCCATTAGCAATAGCAATAGCAGTTAGACTTATATACCGCTTCATAGGGCTTTCAGCCCTCTCTAAGCGGTTTACAGAGTCAGCATATTGTCCCCACAGTCTGGGTCCTCATTTCACCCACCTCGGAAGGATGGAAGGCTGAGTCAACCTTGAGCCGGTGAGATTTGAACAGCCGAACTTCAGATAACAGCCAGCTGAAGTGGCCTGCAGTACTGCACCCTAACCACTGTGCCACCTCAGCTCTCTCCATTGACTTTGCTTGTCAGAAGGTTGCAAAAGGAGATCACATCACGCACATGCACATGCACACACACACACACACAGGACATTGCAACTGTCATAAATATGAGTCAGTTGCCAACTGTCTGAATTTTGATCACATGATCATGGGGATGCCACAAAGTGAAAAACGGTCATAAGTCACTTTTTTTCAGTGCCGTTGTAACTGAATGGTCCCCAAATGAACTGCTGACCTGTGTTACCTTTGTTATCCCAGACCTATTTGCTTAGAAGTCATGTTTTTATATTTGGGCTAAAAGATGCTTTCTTCACATTTCGCCTGTGATTATAGTGTTGTTGACAAAATGACTTAGGTTCAAGCACTGCATTCTAAAAAACAAAATACCAGGACAGGACAGAAATATTGGACTTTTCTTATGCAGATCCTGTTCTAAGGCAGAAGCTTCGTATGTATAACCATCTGAATTTGCCAACACAAATTTCCAAAAAATTTTTTTTTATTTTTTTAAACCGCAAACATCTGTTGACAAAATCAACCTCCCAAACCAAAATAAATACTAATGTTGCTACACTTCATCCTAACTTTAACTAACCCCAAATAAAATTGGTCAGTAAATTTACACCAATTTACAGTATAGCTAATCCTCAACTTATGACCACAATGAAGCCCAGACTTTCTGTTGCTAAGGAAGATAGTTGTTAAAGTGAGTTGTGCCCACTTTAACAACCTTTTTGTCACAGTTGTTAAGCAAATCACTGCAATGGTTGAGTGAATGTCTTGCGCTCCTTAAGTGAATCTGGCTTCCCACATTGACTTTGCTTGTTGGAAGTCTGCTAGAAAGGTTACCAATGATGATCCCATGACCCCCAGCTTAAGGCAGCTGTCATAAACATGAGCCAATTGCTAAGCATCTGAATTTTGGGGGGTGCTGCAATGGTTGTAAGTGTGAAAGGCAATCATGCCACTTTTTTCAATGGCATTGTAACTTTGAACTGTCACCAAATGAGTGATAAGTCTGTATTTAATCTGGAAGTGGGTTGAGTGGGACTTTCCATCAATAACTGCAAAATTAAACTTTAAATTTCTTTCCAGGTTTGGAAAGAACTGAGCTGGAAGGATAGCTGCCCTTCTAGAATGAGTGAGTGAGTGAATGGATGAATGAAAGAAAGAAAGAGGAAGGAAGGAAAAGAAAGAAAGAACGAACAAGCTCTCCATGGTATTTCCATGGAAATGTTGGTAGAACATCATAACACCTGGATACTTTATAAGTGCAACTTTTAAAACCAAAGCAATTTTCCTAATGCAACGTCTAATGAATCTGTACTGTTAAACCTGTGCACTTTTAAAGTCCCTTGGTAAGATAACCATCCCTAGACATCTCAAAGAACACAACCCCTGTCAGGTTACGCAACGCAAGGGGTCTGAATGATACGTTCCCCCAGTGAAGGAGGATCATGATTCTCTACCTCCTTGGCTGCTCTCTTCCTTCCAGGTGCCTTTGGCCAAAATTTCTTGGCACCAATGGAACCCTGATCTGCTTAAAGCAATGTCTCCTTCAATCTTTCCATTCTCCCAAGCCTTAGGCCGGACTAGCTGAAGCTCCTGTCTTTACAGACTGCATTCACTGATTGACCATTTTGCTCTCTATGTTTCAGATGCCCTCTATTTAGCTTTTCCTTTTCTCTTCGTATTCATAATG